AGCCTGATCTAGTGACCAGAATATCACAAACCCCACCAAAGAACATCCTGTGTATTTTCACCTCAGAAAAAAAAGGATTAGCCAGATAAATCGGCTCCACATCTTTAATGCATAAAGATGCCTTAAAAACTACTTTGGACATTAAAATGTTCCCTGACATGCTTCTCTGTCTATGGGAACAGACATACTGAAGTGTCCCTCAGATCTCATAGTCAATCAAATAAAAGCCACTGACAAATCTGGGCAGCTGCCTGCAAAACCTGATCAGAGAATAAGTAAAACCAGGGACTAGAGAACAAAAGGTTGTGGCACAAAGTTTGGATGTGACTATACAACTGTACTTCTGTTTGGCTCGGACAGTCATTTAACGGTTTGACAAACACAGCCGACATCCATCTAAACTGCTTATATAAACCAGACTTCTTTAATCAAGTGTGTGGTTGAATGACACCATGTTGCACAAGACCAATTACAGGCTAGTGCTGCCAGGTCCAGCAGTCAACACTATAGACAAGCATATATGTTCTCTTTTACTGGGACTCGGAAGTCGTAAATCTTACACTGCAGTTCAACTCATAGGCCAATGTTTCATTGTGAAGGGTTCACAGAGGTCTAAACGTGGGTGGACATTGACAACTCACAGGAGGTGATAGTTCTCCCACAGGCATTTAAGTAGAGACGACCTCGAGAGTCATGAGGCAGATTGTTCAGAATTAAACGCTTCAGTTTCTAGGTTATTCAGAAAGACTGTAGTGATGTCATGCCATAAACGCCAGAGGTTTCCTGTGCCGTTCACTCCCTTTCTGTCTACAGTACACAAAGCCATGTATTTTTCTGTCTATATCTTCCACTGTGTTCAGGACAGCATGCGTCATCTAGATACCAGTAACTGTTAATGACTCTAGCTTAATTACTGTGCGCAAAGGTACACAAAACCTCAAATCAGGGGCAATTAAGAGACCCATTTAGATTTTAATCTTCTCTGCACCTTAAATTTGGATTTCTTGAGACCGGTATGTGTCAGTGGTTTAACCGACAGCATATGCTAAGTGGTACAGTTTAAAGTCAACATGGTCGATGGTCTTATTCTGTGTGATTCATCTGTGGACATTATACCAAATCAAAAAAATTATTTCCGTAAATGTGCTGCACTTCTGAAACAACTTATTTTGGCTGATGTCACCAAGCCCTTTCATTTTTTTCAGCCCCACCCCTCCAACTATCTCGCTCCATGTGACTTCTCACAATCCAACTTCTGATTGCAAAACAAGCTTATTGGAAATACGTGCTTGTGGCAACGTTTCTGCAACACCAGCATTACGTACCATACTACACGTTTAACGGCAGTGTCAAAGTAGAATGTCCAGTGAGTGGCACTAAAACGCACATTCAATACGTGACCATTACCACATTTTTATTACATTGGTACAGGCACGTATCGCTGTGTTTTATTATGTTTCTTCAGGCACGTATTGTGGTGGTTCAGAATTTAAATGTCTAAGGAGTGTCGCTAAAAGGTAAATGCTCTATCGTGTTGGAAAATAACATACTCCCTATACCAAACCCAACCCTAAACCTACCCGATAGTGTAAACGAATACAAAAGTGATATAAAAAGACATTCGCTGATGCAACTGTGCTATTTAAACTATTTTAACTTTCTTCTACGCGGGTTTGAGGTGTTGTGTTGATCCGTAGTTTCACAGGATTTGTACCGAAGCACTTCACCTCACAAGAGCTACAGAGCAAACCTACTGCGTTAGAAAACCCATACATATGAAGCTTTATATGTGATGATAACAATCAAAAGTATCCGTTTTCAAATCTTACAGCGTGTTAAAAAAAAATAGCTCATAGCATAAAATTGTGTAAGGAATTGTACGAAAATTAGGCTTTCTTAATGAAAACTTTGGCCCTGTAAATCATAATTTGTGTGAAAAGGAATAAAAGTTTTACTGCCTCTAGTGTGTATAACAAATGGAAACTGCAGCAATTTGTACGTATAGGTAGATTTTTTGAGTTTTGCAGAAATGTAGGTAGAGGCATACATATTTCCAATGACCCTGGGTAGCCTGATTGATGAAATTAAGTCCCACCCTTTTTCTGGTTTCACTCAAAATTGTTTTTGATTATGGAAGTAAAATGAATCACAAATGGTATTTCATTTTTTTTATTTTAGACGTACACTAGAGGCGGTTTAGCCAATCACAACACACTGGGCTAGCTAACCAATCAGAGCCCATCGCCTATTTCTGAGGGCGGGGCTTCATAAAAGCAGGAAATTGATCAGCGCGTTTCTCAGAGAAGGGACTGAGCGGTGTGGAATAAAGGTAAATTTTGCTTTTTTAAAAACGAAGCATTAACACGTTAGACTGCACCCCATAAACACAATCAAGCCTAGAAAAAAAACACTGAACCACCCCTTTAAAGGAACAGTTAAAAATGGATTAATAAAAGGGAATTAAGGAAATACATATTTAAATTGAGTTTTTTTTTTTTTTTTTTTTTTGCAATGACAAGGGATTAGGAGATCACACTTTTGGAATGTTTCAAGTCTCATTGACTTGTATTGAAACACCTTACAATTGTTTTAAATGTGAAACAGAAGACAAACGTTACTGCCTCACAGATAGCCGATAGATATTCGCACGAAATACACACCTTTGCCCTCCATTTGTGTGAAGCCACAGTCATACAATACTCAAATGTGACATATGGCTGCACTTTTGGTGTTTTGCTTTTGGAAAGTTTTACCCAGTGACCTTTCTAGAAAGATACTTCTTAGACAGGAATGCATTAGTAAAGCTTGCAATAAAGTTCTGTCACTCCATTTTCCCCCAGTTTGACCTCAATGTAATGCTCAGTGACAAACGGCACTAATAGAACCTAACTGACATCTGATGTCAAGGAAATGATGCATGGAAATGAACTCCGCTTGATTATATTCTTAATTATGATCCAGAGCACACACAATTGTTTAGAAAATGTTTGTCATTTTTTCAAGCTATAAACAGCACCCTTAAGCATGCATCACTTTGTCCCAGAGCTGGGTTGATAGATGGGTTAGGTTTATCTCCTTGTATACAATGTAAATGCAGTTCTAGAACTGTCAAGAATAAAGATTACCGCAGTCATGTTGCATGGAAATTATGAACGCCAAAATGAATGAGAACGGTGTAGGTCATATATATGTTTCCCTCTTACTAGGCTTATTGAAACTCAACAGAGCATCTTTATATCCCCGTACAGTAACTAAAAAGGCACAAGCAACTGTTCACAAACCATGGAGGCGTTTTATCATTTAAACACGTTTTTATGCTGTAGATGTTTTACCATTGCAAACAATTTACTGTACAGCCTAATGGAATCCAGAAAGTAATTAAACAACTTGTTTACACTCTAAAAAATGCTGGGTTAAAAAGGGACAAACCCAGCTATTGGGTTGTTTTGACCCAGCTATTGGGTTGTTTTGAACCCAACCGCTGGGTCAAAACAACCCAATTGCTGGGTTTGTCCCTATTTTACCCAGCACTGGGTTGTATTTAACCCAGCATTTTTTAGAGTGTATGCTTCAAAGAAATGCTTAACTCATTAGGGTGTGCATTAACTGTGTGCTTTCCGATTTTTTAATACAATTTTAGAGTAATACTTTATTTTGATTCTCCCTTTTGAACATTCTGTTGACAATGAGTAATGTTGCACCCACATGTCTACTAACTCTCATCAGAGTATTAGTAGACTGTTTGCTTAATATCTGCTAACTCTTTATTGTCATGGTCTCCCAACAGACATTCTACTGACTATAAGTAACTTTGCAAGTACATGTCAACTTATTCTAACCCTAACCCTACCAGTCTACTAATACTCTGATGAGAGTTAGTAGACATGTAGGTGCAACGTTACTTATAGTCAACAGAATGTGTTAAATAAGGGACCATCAAAATAAAGTGAAACCCATTTAAGTTATTGCACTACACAACTATACGCTTTGTAGATTGAACAGCATAGTGTTATATCTCACAGGCACACATTCCCTCACAGCATGACTGTGATAAAAAAAAAAAAAAATGTCTACCTGACATCCCTCATGTCACGTCCCAACAAGAACATTCCCTCACAGCATGACTGTGATAAAAAAAAAAAAAAATGTCTACCTGATCTCCCTCATGTCACGTCCCAACAAGAAGCAAGGTGCACTGTAGAGGTTATTTATGCAAGTAATTTGCTGTATAGACACAAACTTTAAAGGGCTACTGGACTTAAAACTAACTAACTAAATAAATACATAAATAATGAACATTATTTCCAGCATTATTGCCTGAACGGGACACACTGTCGCACTCTATGAGGTAACTTGCCATTAAGCAGCCTATTATGGTTTTTCAGTTCAATTTAAAACAATTAGTACATCAGTAAAACAATTATGGAACACAAAATAAACACCTTCAGCTTTTTTTCGGGGTCAATAGAGATTATAATTCAACTGACAACTTTCCCCAAATTACACACATGACTCTTCTTTCAGTATAGGCTATGTCAGTTAAGTATGCTCACTTGTTACCTAAAATATTTTATAAAAACATTATATTAAATCGCAGTATTCAGAATTCACACACAAACAAAAATGTCCTAAAATGTCCCCTTGTGACAACTTCCCCATGTGACTATAGCCCCGGTCACCCGTAAATGATTGAGCAGCAGAAGGAAAGAAAACATTTTACAGTAATTTTCAAACATTAAAGATCATTAATGTTAATTCAAATACAAATGGCATGGATTTTCCTTTATAGTTTCAGATTGTGGATATTTGAACGCACATCTATTGATCGGTTAGTGACGTAAAAAAAAGATTATAAATAATAATTAAGTGTTATAATCACTTTCAGAACATAACTATTTTATATAGCCTAACGCGAGCGTTCTAGACTAGTTGCGTCGCGTCGCACTCAGTGTGAATGACGCACCAGAGCGCGCGGTCCCAATGTAACGGGCTCTTCTTACCTGTTGGAATATCCTTATTTCTCTCCATGCTCAGGGAATAATGAACACAGGACATCAGCGTTAAAATAAGCGCGGAAAAGCACCGATGATGCTCCATCGCCGCTTCGGTGAAGTCCTCAGAGACGATGTGAACGAACAAGTTTGCGAAGTTGCTGCTGGTCAGCGCGCGGTGAGTCCGAGAAGCCCCGGGGTCAGCAATAAAACCTCTCTCGTAGGTCACCTAAGTAAAGTAATTTCTAGTGAACATCAGTAGTGATAAACGTGCTGATTGGTCCCACAAGAACGAGCTGACTGTGATGGTGCCCTCGATGTTCCCCAGACAGGGTGACAGGAGTGAGTGTGATTGAACAAGTACAGCTGTGTTTGAGCACCCCTCCTCCTGCAGTCCTCAAACACGAGCTCAAATAATGCCCCCCTGCACCGCCCTCATTCACACCCAGACTCACACGCTGCTTCCACTGTAAGAGAGAGAGAGAGAGAGCAGGTGAAAGGCTAAAAGTGAACATTAGCTGCCTGAAGTAATATGCCAATGTGTCTATTAGAAAATGCAGTGGTACAGTCATTGCACTTTTTGACCACTTTTTGACCACTTTGAAATTAATAACTAACTATGTGTAATATTGTATAAATGACAAAAAATGCCTGTGACAAGTTAGTGGATGAAGAAAAAAGTTGATTTTAGAATAAATTGCTAAAAACATTTCTACACACTGTATATGTGACATAAGCTGAATGGATATTAGCACAATGACTATTTGTTTCTAAAATCAAAATATAAATCAAAAATCAAAGATAAAGCAAAGATAGTATAGAACACCTAAAAAGCGTGAGAAAGGAAAAGCTTTATGAAGAAACTAAATATCTTTTCAAATGCCAACATTTTGGGTGAGGGCTTAAAATTAGTGTAATCTACCAGTAGAATGGGAGTTTGGCATCATAATAAAACAAATGTAATGTATGTGTGTGGTGGGCAGGTCAGGTTCTCCATTGTGTACCGAATGTCCCCACAAGGACTGTAGAACCTGAAATCACCTACATAGTGGGGAGCAGCCAACAGCTCTTGTGAGAAAAAAAAAAAAAAGCTTAATAATCATAATAAATAATGCTTTGACGGAAATATAAAATGTTTAAGGGTTATGCTATAAAACAGTGTTATGGTAGCATTTATGGTAGAAAACATTGGTTCAGTATAAAAAAAAGTATATGGAGGTAAGTTCTCACTATGATAGACAAAGAAAATACAAAACAAGTGTGTGTGTTTCAAAAATACTAATCAGAAAGTATTAAAACATATGTTTTTTAGGACATAGTGGATTATGCCCAATTATTTTTTTTGTCTTTATGGGAACACTTTGGATTATGGAACACATATTCACTATTAACTAGTTGCTTATTAGCATGCATATTACAAGGTTCATATTGATAATAAATACTGCATTCTTTATTTCTAAAGTGCATTAAGTGGTTACAGTTATTATTAGATTATTTTAAGAACAAAATAAGTCACTGGGTCTTCAATGGCCCCTTATTCCCATCTGATACCATTGCGGTACCATGGCACAGCCATTAACCCTGTAAACCCTGACATATGAAATAATAGTCAGATTTTTTGTTTTTTTTTAACAAACAGTTTATTGTTTATACGTTTAGACAAAAGAAAAAAAAAAGTATTTTATTGCTCATAATAGTGTGAATATACAGTGGGTATAGAAAAGAATAACCCCCTTTAAAATGATCACATTTTGTTGACGGACACAGTTTTTGTTTTATCCAGCTGTATTTACTCAGTGCAACTTATAACATCCACATCAAAGATATAGCACCAACATGTCAAAAAAAAACAACTAAATCACTGAGTTGGAAAAAGGATCACCCCCTCCTAAAAACGACTTGTAAACTCAATAATCACCTTCTCAGTGGCACACAAAGCCATTTGACTGTGATCAGCTGTGGTCATTTTGATTAGCTCAGCATGAAAATAGCTTTCCTGGAAACTGAGCAAAACTATGTAATTTTCTTGGCCAAAAATAAGATGAAATTCTGATAGCTTGTGATGTAAATCAATAAGATCTTTATAACAGTATAGCAGACTACTTAGGCTACATACAATGCATATACAGTACATAACGATTGTCACGCTGTATCTCCCAATAATATGTCTTAGTAAGATGATATTGAAATGCTTTGTTTTATGAGCTCATTCAAAGCTCTGTAGTTGTTATTGTGCAGGAGAAAACATATAAACGCAATGCAATGATGATTGAGAGATGAACAAATAAACATTGCTCAAAAGCCTGATGGATCATATCTGATACTCATTTTAACATGATGTCTGGATAATCAAGTAAACCTAAGTTGCTTCAGTCCAATAAGTGTTCATCTTGAAGCAGTACTGACAATGTTAAAGCCAGGGTATTCTTATACTTACTTTATGAAGAAGAAAAAAAAAAACACATTAAAGAAAGTATAAACTATCAATCAGACGACCAAAATAGTCACGACACTGAATAGTCTTCTCTCTTTTTTATTTTACTTACAAAAATCACCTGCATTGTGGGAACCAGTCAACATCCCCCATAGGGGAATAGCGTAATGCAAGTATTGTAAATATATGCAACTATTGTAATGCAATAGTTAGCTCAGTATTAAAACAACAGATGTAAAAAATCCCCAACTTGGAAAAACAAATGTGTTGAAGCTGCCCACATATATCCACTAACCGCTTGATTACTGCTGTACTTAAAAAAAATGGTATAATTTTCCTTGAAGGCCATTTACTATACCACAATGACACTGCAGTAAATTGAAAAGAAAGATCATCCGTGCCAAACAAAAGCTATATGGCAGAGTTGGATCTTGACCATGCAATTTATGCATGTTATTGTGGTCTCAGGCTTTCAGACATAGGCCTATGGTGTTTTTGCACACACTGTTATAATGAGGTAATCTGGTTCACATCCAACACTCTTAATAGCCACTGATTGATGTCACTGAGGCCAATCTATTCCCATTCATTCTTTTTACAAGATTCAGTTTCACTCATGCATGTAGCTATGAGTAATACAAATACTCAAAACATAGGTTCACGGTTCTCTGTGGGCCATTCAAATGTCTTGTCGCAGTCTTTGTCACTGCAGATAGAAGATGTTTCAAAGCACAAGTGTGGAGATAAATAAAGGCATATATAATCAATGCATCCCTTGACATTTCACAGCTTTGTGAGACAGAGGAGTTTGTTTGGGGGATGGAAGCGGGGGCTACTAACATGAACAGCTGAAATCACTTCTGTATTATACAGTGAGAAACACACTGGCTTTGCATTCATCTGCCACATCTGGTCTTGGTTATTTACTGAGCGACAATATAGATGTGATTATGTAAGTGCAAATTACATGTTTTGTGTGCGCAGTAAAATGTACAGTATGATATTGCTTTTACATTGTTAGAAACTATAAAGTGAAGTGAAGCTAATGGATATGCTGATAAATAGAGGCAGGAGACTGCCAATGATTCAGAAAAGTCTGAAAAAGGACATTATGTTCTCTAAAATCTGTAAAAGAAAAGCTCTGTTTACTATTGTGGTCAAAGGGTGAATCTCACAAAACCATATTTCATATTTCAACCCAACATAACAGTCCAATAATCAAACAAAAGTATTATTATTAATTTAAGAATAAAATAAAACAGCCTATTTACAAGATTGTTCTGCATTGTGACAAGAATATTAATAATTATCACCAGTGTAACGGGTTAAGAAAAGTAAAATAAAATAAAAAAAGTTACACAAAATAAATTATATATTATTTAAAAATGTAAAATATTAATTAAAATAAATAAATTATGTATTATTTTGTGTCATGGTATTACTGTCTTTATTTTATTTTTTTAATATATGCATTTTTAAAAGTATCATGTATTTTGCGCTAAGTAAAAAAAAAAAACAACAACTATATTATGATATGCATAACTGTCATGGAGATAAGTCTGAATGCAAAGCACCTTGATGTTATTTTTGCATGTAATGTAACCTTTAACATGTTTTTTTTCAGATACACCCAATGTTTTTTATAATTACTGACAAAAATTATGCTTTCTATTCAAGGTAGCATCTTTTTTTATAAGATTTTATGATGTTCCCCCAAAAGGGAGAAAAAAAAAAAGTGTTTCTTGTCACAATTTCCTTAAAATGCAAAGACATTAGTTTGAAGAGATGTCAAAGTCTGCAGGCAATAAAGGCGATCATGAATCTCCATCTATATTGCCATTCATTGAAAATGTCAAGTACAGTGAATTTTGATGTGGATGACAGAGTCAGGCAGTAGTACAACCAATAAATGAATCAAGACTAAACATTTTTACAGACCTTCAGACCGTTTCTCTTGAATCACACAGTAAGACAATCTAAACGTTTTAGCCCACCTAGTTTGTTTTCCCCATGTGCATGGAATAAACTTAAAATACATATACGTGTCTTTTTGTGGTACTGGCAATGCCTGGCAAATGGTTTCTCGATTACGATGATGAGTCACCCATCCACGATGACATGATCTCATGGACCCGATGAATCCTTTGCTATAATTGCTTCCAATAATAGCTTTTTTTAGTTTCAAATGCGTGCCTTTGAACCTGCCACTTCGTGTTAATTACAAACTGGCAATGACAGAAGACCAGTGCCTCTTGATAGACCAACCGCTGTCAGTCTGACCACCTCATTTCCACATCTGTGCACTGGTTTGAGTGAAGTTAAGATGGGAAATCCCACACTTCAGCCAAAATCATAAAGAGAACTTGACCTCCAGGAAAACACATTTGTCTTGCTCTATAAGCATCCTCAAGAACCCATCATTTAAATGGGTGGAAAGGAGGCAATCTATGCATCCACAGTGGCGCCATTTGCAACACTGAAAACAGGCAGATAGCATGTTGGTCATGGACATTTCGGAAAGAAAGAATGTAGGGTGCAATATATGGAGTCTATCGGCTACACATGCAGGAAACGTAATTTGCATTAAAAGACTATCCTTGTGAAAAAGAAGTGTGCTTAACTGTATCAAATGTGCACTTAAAAGTGTCCTTAAAATCTATCTTTCTTTTTTATAAAAACTGTAATTACAGATAATAGTATATCAGTGAAATAAAAGGCCACTTAGTGTACACTTTCATGACTGTTTCCAAGCACACTTTTAAAATAGTGCACTTTATAATGTCAAATGAATAGTTTTACCTTTAAGTACACTTTAAACCATTATGTTTTAATTTTGTAATAATTATGTCATTATGTAATGATTTTGTCATGCTTTAAAGAAGTGCACTTACTGTATTTTGATGTGTCGACTAACAGACTAAAGCACATGTA